GGGATCTTGGGCACGCACACACATGCACCCGGCGTGAGTTTTAAGCCACCGGGTCCGGGGCATGAACCACAGTCAACTACATGGGAGTCCAGCAACATAGCCATTATGCTAACTGCTGGTCCCAATAAAATAATTCTTAAAAAAAAAAAAAATGAGGACCAACAGGTGGCGTGGTGGTTAAAGTGCTGAACACTCTCACATGGCAGACCATGGTTCGAGTCCTGGACCTGGTGGTTTGCTTTCTCACTTTCCCTCTCTCTTTCTCTCTGTGTGGATCTCTCTATCAAATTAAAAAAATAAATGAATGAATAAATAAAATTAAATAATTCTTAAAATAAATAATGAGCAAAAGAAATAAAAGGAAAAATTTCTATCAATTCTGACTAAACCTGATGGACATTTGACCCGTGTACATGGGAAAATGTTAAACTTAGAGCAAAGTCATTTCCTGACTTTCCAATAATACAAAAACTAAGGGCGAGTTTTTTAATTAAATATGTCTAACACTCCATATTTGCAGAATGCAAAAAGAAGATGTAATTTGATGAAAACAAAATGTGTAACTACATTAAAAGAGCTGGAATTTCTGACACTAGTCAGACAATATTGACATCTTTTTTTTTTTTTTAAAGATTTTTGCTGTAGGATATGTGCGCTTGTCAGAGAGACAGAGACAGAAAGTGAGAAATCACCCCTCCCTTTGGAGGGATGGCCATGCCACAATCCCTTCTCCTTCATTCTCTCTTGATTTTGGGCATGCACCCACATGTGCCTGGCATGAGTTTAAACCTTGATGTCTGGGACTCAAACCACAGTCAACTATGTGGGAGTCCAGTGACATAACCATTATGCCATCCTCTGGGCCTCCTAATGCAATCTAAACACGTAGTAACCAGAAAGATCCCCATTACGATAACTGCTGGTCCCCGACATATTTTTTTTTTTTTAAGAGAGATTTTTTGCTATAGGGTATATGCACTCACCGGACAGAAAGAGACAGAGAGACAGAAAACGAGAAAACACCCTCCAGGAAGGATAGCCACACCATAAACCCTTCTCCTCCATTCTTCTCTGGGATTTTGGACACACTCACACATGTGCCCTGTGTGAGTTTTAAGTTGCTGGGTCTGGGACTTGAACTGTAGTCAGTTATGTGGGAGTCCAACAATGTAACCATTACATCACTTGCTAATTCTGATCTTGACATCTTCTAGATAGAGAAGACTTCTAAATTGTAGATATGTGTTAAAAGACCATCACCCGGGGCCGGAAGGTGGCATGGTGGTTAAGGGTACTGGACTACCATGTGACTGACCGTGGTTTGAGTCCTGGACCTGGTGGCTTGCTTTCTTTCTCTCTCACTCTCTCTCTGCTCCTCTCTGGTCAGATTAATAGGAAATAAGTGAATAAAGAAAGAAAGTTAAATAAAATAACTCTTAAAAAAAAAGTCCATTACCTTTATTATCTTCATTAGAACAGTTAGGAAGTGAAACTGATGCCTTTTTAAAAATTTTTAGTTTTTGTTATAGGGTACACACACTTGCTGGGGAGAGAAAGAGAGGCGGATTGCTTTCTCACTTTCCCTCTTCTTTTTTTTAAAATTATTTAACTACTTATTTATTAATTTGTTTATTTCAATTTGCCCAGAGAGGGACAGAGGGGGGGGAGAGAGAGAGAGATAGCCACCAGGTTCAGGACCTGAACCACGGTCAGCTGTGTGGGAATCCAGTGCCTTTAACTACCACGCCACCTGACGGCCCCTCTCATTTTCCCTCTTTCTCTCTCTCTCTGTCATGAGCACATGTTTCCTACAGCAAATTAAAATAAAAAAATAATTTTTAAAAGAGAAAGAAAAGGAATGTAGGTGCACTTTGGCAAGTGCACACACTCTATAGCAAACATCTCTCTCTCTAAAAAAAAATAATGCTTTGATTTTTCTTTATTTTGGGGGGGAGGTTTTGCTATAGGGTGCATGCCCTCTCCCGAGAGATAGAGAGACAGAAAGCGAGAAATCACCCCCTGGGGTATGGTCATGCTGCAATCCCTTTCCTTCCATTCTCCTCTTGGGATTTTTGGGCATGCACACGCACCTGGCACGAAGTTTACGTCACTGGGTTTAGGACTCAAACCATGTTTGAGTATGTGGGAGTCCAGCTACATAACCAGCTACATGACTCCCTATGGCCAACTGCAGTTCAAGTCCTGGATCTGGAGGCTTGCGGCTCACACTAGGCACATGTATGTGCTTGCCCCAATCCCAAGAGGTGAATGGGAGACAAGGGACTGCAGCACAGTCACTCCCCAGAGAGGCACTGCTCACTTTCCCCTCTCTCTGTTTCTCTCTGTCTCTTGCCAGCAAGCACACGCACCCTATGGCAAAAACATTAAAAAAAAAAAATCACCTTACAAATCTAATCTTTTTTTTTTGTTTAATTGCCAGAGAGCACGTGTACTTGCTAGAGAGAGACAGAGAGAAAAAAAGCAAGTCCCAAGGGGGTACGGTCATACCACAATCCCTTCTATATTTCTCCATCCTGTTGGGATTTTGGGCACTCACACACACACACACATCCCTAGTATGGTTTTCAAGCCCCCAGTGGCTGGTATTCAAACTGCTGATGGCCATGTCAGAACTAGCTTCCTTAACCACCAAGTTATGGGGCTCGCCCAGAAATCCTTTTCATATGAGCACACACAAAAAATTTACCTCATTTAACAAAAAAATAGTCTCCTGGGCCAGTAGATGACATGGTGGGTAAGGTGTTGAACTCCCACAGGGCCAGCCATGGTTCAGGTGCTGAACCTGGTGGTTTGAAAATCGTATCAGGTGCACTTGTGAGCATGCTCAAAACCCCAACAGAAAAAGGGAGCATAGGATCAGCAGTTAGCATAATGGCTATGTCACTGAACTCCCATGTAGTTGACCATGGTTTGAGTCCCAGACCCAGTGGCTTAAACCCACGCTGGGCGCATGTGTATGCATGCCTATGATCCTGAGAGGAGAATGTAAGAGAAGGGATTATGGTGTGGCCATCCTCCCTGGGGGTGATTTCTCACTTTCTGTCTCTTTCTGGTGAGTGTGCGTGCCCTATACCAAAAACCTTAAAAAAAAAAAAAAAAAAAAAAAGGAATGAGTAGGGTCTGTGGCATAACCATCCCCTCTGGGGCGGGGTGAGGGGGTGACTTCTCACTTTCCCTGTGTCTTATCTCTCTGTCTCTGATGAGTACATGTGCCATATGGCAAAAACCTGGAAAAAAAAAAAAAGGCTCCTGTAATATCACATCTCATTAATATGTCAAAATTATTATAATAATAATAATTATTTTTAAAGAGATTTTTGCTATAGGGCATATGTGCTTGCTGGAGAGTCAGAGAGACAGACGGCAAGAAATCACCCCCCAGGGGGATAGCCATGCCGCAATCCCTTCTCCTCCATTCTCCTCTTGGGATCTTGGGCACACATGTGCATGCACCCAGTGTGATTTTGAAGCCACTGGGTCTGGGACTTGAACACCAGTTTGCCATATGGAAGTCTAGTGATGTGCCCACTATACCACATGCAGGTCCCTTGTATATGTGTGCTTGTGTGTATCTTGACAAACTTTTGAGAACATCTTTAAGGCAAATTATTGGCTGTGAGATTGCTGAATTAAAGAGTATTTGTGTTAATAAATTTTTTTAGATACTGCCAAACTGCTTTCCAGAAAGGTTGCACCAATTTGACCTTATGCCAGTATGTTATGAGAGTATTTGTTTACACCTCTGCTAGAATGAGTATGAAAACAAGTAAATGTTTTTTCCTATTCATAAGATAAAAAAACAAACAAACAAACAAAAAAACCGGTGAGACCAGCAAGTAGAGTTGTTATTAGGACACTGGATCCCACATAGCTGATTCTGTAGTTTAAGTCCCAGACCCAGCAGCTTGATAAACATGTCAGGCATGTATGCATGTGTGCTCAAAATCCCAAGAGGAGAATGAAGGAGAAGGGATTGTAGCGTGGCCATCCCCCCCTGGGGGGTGATTTCTCACTTTCTCTTTCTCTCTTCAGTGAGCACATGCATCCTCTGGCAAAAATCTAAAACAAACAACTAGTATCTGCAAGCCAGCAGGTGGTATGATTTATTCTTTTTTGGGGGGAAGAGGGTTTTGCTATAGTGCACATGTGCTCGCCAGAAAGACAGAGACAGAGAAACAGAAAGTGAGAAATCACCCCCCAGGGGGGGATGGCCACGCTACAATCCCTTCTCCTTCATTCTCCTCTTGGGATCTTGGGCACGCACACACACATGCCGGGCCTGAACACAAGCCACCAGGTCCGGAACTCAAAGTGTGGTTGACTACATGGGAGTCCAGCGACATAGTCATTATGCCAACTTCTGGTCCCTATTTTCGTTTTAAATTTATTTATTTTTTACATTAATTACCTATTTTCATTTTTTTAAGAGAGATTTTCACTTTAGGATCCACGTGCTCGCCAGAGAGACAGAAAATGAGAAATCATTCCCCCAGTGGGGAGAACTACGTTACAATCCCTTTTCTTCCATTCTCCTCTTGGAATTTTGGGCATGCATGCATACATACACGTCCAGTGTGTTTTAAGCCACTGGGTGCTGGACTCTCCAATCAGGGTTGACTATGTGGGAGTCCAGCGATGTAACCATTATACCATCTGCTGGTCCTGTGGTATGATCTTAAGGCAGCTGGATCCCAAAGAGCTGAGTGCAATTTGAGTCGCAGACCTGGCAGCTTGAAAATCACACCAGGTCTCTGTGTATATGTGTGTGTGTGTGTGTGTGTGTGTGTGTGTGTGTGTGTATGTGTACACCTAAGATTCCGAGAGGTAAATGGAAGAGAAGGGATTGTGGCATGGCCATTCCCCCTCAGGGTGATTTCTCACTTTCCTTCTCACTGTCTCTGTCTTTCTCTGGTGAGCACATATGCCCTAAAGCAAAAACCTTTATTAAAAAAAAGCCAAAACAATGTGTTGGGGCCAATAGGTGGCGTGGTGGTTTCTCATCCCCCCCCCGCCCCCGTGAGTCTAGGTGCCCTATGGCAAAAAATCTGAGCATTAACAAATTTTCCAACAACTTGGAGGAAGATAATCCAGAATATACAATATTTTAATTAAGAGCTACAATCTGAAGTATACCTAGAGAGAATGTTTTTGGGTGATGTCAGACCAGGGACCAAGGCTGCTCCCCTGGCCTCTTCCACATCAGGCCATTTTCTCTTGAATACCGCAGGAGATGTCAAGGCATGGAGGTTCAGGGAGTCACACATACTGATTGTTACTCACACAGAAGCTTCTCCTTTTGCAGGGTGTCTGGTAACAAATCATCTCTTTCTCCATAACAGCCATTCAACAGGTATCGAGGGTTATTCTTCCAAACATGCTGATGTGTTGCAGAGTTTGGCAAACTGTCTCTCTGAGCTAAGAATAGGCCATTATAATTAAAATTGTTGGAAGCCAAGCTCCTCATCTCCAACATCTAGGTCAATACCCAAACCACCACTACTTCCGTCACCACCTACCACCCCAGACCTTTGCAAGGAATAAGTCCCATTTTTCTGAGTTTTCATGTTACAATCTATGTGAGTTAAGCGTAATTACTCCATTTAACAGGTGAGGAAATGAAAGTGAGAAGGAGACTTGAGAAACAGCATGGTGTAGTGGATGAGAAAGGGCTTGGGAGGCAAGGAAGACCCAGTAGCTGTAAGAACTGCCCAGAGAGCCACACCCAGATGAAAGCAGATATAAAAAGATGCCCAAAGACACAGTGTCCTGAGGGGCATCTGCTGAACTGGAAAACTAGAAATTAGTTGTCAACAAACTAGTAATCCTTTTTAAAATAATTATTTATTCAATTTTATTTATTCATTCAGTCATTTTCATTTGACCAGAGAAAGACAGACAACACGGAGAGAATGAAAGTGAGAAAGCAAGCCAGGACTTGAACCATGGTCGACTATGTGGGAGTGTCCAGCGCTTTAACAACCATGCCACCTGTTGACCTTAATAATCATTTAGAAAATGAAATAGTTAATAAGAAAGTTTAACAAGGTTTCTGGGAATAAAATCAACATTAAAAACTCCATTTTTGTTCAGCTACTGCCAAGGGTAATGCAAACGCCTTGCAGGACTAGAAGCCATATAGTGAACAAGGGCTTGAATCCGTGTCAGCCCCTAAATACGCTGGGCAGGTGTGCATGGACAGACGTACGCATGCAGGCACCTAACATCCTGAGGATTGAAAGGCTGGTCATGGATGACAAGACCCATCAAGGGTGTTTCTATCATTAAAAATTAAAACACCTGGGATCAGCAGATGGCGTAATGGTTATGTTGTTGGACTCCCGTGTAGTCAACTGTGTGATTCAAGTCCTAGACCTGGCAGCTTAAAACTCACATCAGGTGCAGGTGTGTGTGCCCAAGATACCGAGAGGAGAATGGAGGAGAAGGGATTGCTGAGTGGCCATCTTCCCTGGGGGGTGATTTTTCGCTTTTTGTCTTTGTCTCTGTCTCTCCGGCAAGCACATAAGCCCTATAGCAAAATATCTCTCAAAAACAAAAATCAACAAAAAAAACTCTCTTAAAAAAAAATTTAGGGACCAGCAGGTGGCATAGTGGTTAAGGTGCTGGAATTCCCACATGGCTGACTGCGGTTCGAGTCCTGGACCTGGTGGCTTGCTTTCTAACTCTCCTTCTCTCTGTCTTTCTCTGGTAAAACTCATGTGAATAATAATTTAATTAATTATTAATTAATTAAAAAAATTTACTTCCGAATACTAGCAATGTAATTACAAAATTAAATTAAATTAAAATTTATGCGGGACCAACAGGTGGCGTGGTGGTTAAGGCGCTGGACACTCCCACATAGTGACCACGGTTGAGTCCCAAACCTGGTGGCTTGCCTTCTTATTTTCCTTCTCTCTCTCTCTGTGTCTGTCGCTGGTAAAATTAAAATAAATGAATAAATAAATAAAATTTAAAAAAATGACACAAAAACAAACAAAAAACTTTTATTGGGCCAGCAGATGGCATGGTGGTTAAGGCGTTGGACTGCTGCCATGTGGCTGACTGCTGTTGAGTTTCGGACCCGGCAGCTTGGAATTCATGCTGCGTACATGTGTGTATGTGTCCAAAATCCCGAGAGGAAACTGGAAGAGAAGGGAAGGTGGTGTGGCCATCCTCCCTGGGGATGATTTCTTGTTTTCTGTCTCTCTCTCTCTCTTTCTCTCTCGCTCTGTCTCTTTGGCAAGCACATGTGCCCCATAGCAAAAATCTAAAAAAAAAAAAAAAATTAAAAATTAAAAAAATGTGTAATAACATAAAAATATAAAGTACTATTTAAGAAATCTAAATATTATTGGGAGACATTACAGAATACCTAAGTAAATGGAGAAATACACCGTATTTACAGACTGGAGAACTCAATACTGGAAAACTCATTTCTCATGAAATTTGATTTAAAGTCAATGTAACCCCAATACTTGTTTTAAATATCACAAGCCAATGGTAGAATTCATACAGAAAGATTCAAGAATAGGCACGTGGGTGTGTAAGTGAAACCACCTGTCTTCATCCACTCTTCTACTGCCTTTCAGTTATTCAGAGCCTAAGAGCACCCATTGGCAACAGCAGGAGTGGGGACAGCAGAAGTGGAGGCTGGAGAGCTTGCAGCTCCTCCGGGGAGGTACAGGTGAAACCTGCAGCTGTCTAGTGAGACTCAACACCCACTGCATTTACTTCTCGGTCTGTAAGTCATCTCTGAGAGTAAACTTTCATCAAATCCTCTACGGAATTATCTGCTTCGTTTTTCCATTTCACAGAGCACACACAATTGGACACCAAGACACTTAAGGACCAAAGTAGGAGAACATGCCTTTCCAGCTAGCAAGAAAATATTAATGCCATATTGCAATTAAGAGACGGTGGCACTGGTGCCACGACAAACTGAGCAATGAAACAGAGGGCCCAGAAACAAACTCTTGTATAGTGACTGTCACTTGACACGTGACACAGCAGACTGAGGGAAGAAAGTACTTTTCATTAATGGCGCTGGAAAAATGATGTATTGGCCTCTCCAAGCACAAGTATCCCAGCTAATGAAACAGTTCACTTCCTGAGCCCAGGAAAGGTGAAGCTTCATAACGTCTCATTACCTTTAAAATAGCCATAATACTGGAGGTGATGGTACATGAAGTCTTCATAGGGATCAGGAAGAGCCTGAAAGGAAAGCCATCTCAATCAGAAAAGTCCTTTCAAATGAGAGTGAATTCCTAACACAAAGTACACAAGCAGCGAGCGTGCTTTGCGCATGGGAGGGTACTCGGGGGCTTTTGGAAATAAACCGAGTGAAACACAGGCATGCAAGGTTAGCTGTCTTACGCCTCAAGCTCGTCACCAGAATCCCCGTTACGGTGCCCGCGGGTCTCTGCGCGGCTAGGGGACGGGTGTGTACCGACCTCCTGCTTCAGCTCTGTTTCCAGCGCTGGGAACATGCTACTTCCGCATGCTCTGCTGAAGACCCGCCAGTGAGCCGAACATCAAGCCGCAGCCTTGCCGAATTCCCGAAAGGGCGGCCGGTTAGACCTGCGAAGCTACGAAACCAGAACAGGCCAGGTGAAAACACGGCCGCGGCCCCGCCAGCCCACCGTCCACTAGCCGCGCGCGGCCGGGGGCTCCCAGGGACACCGGGCGCACCTGCGTCGTCAGCGCGGGCGCGCCTCCTCGACCCCTCGTCCACAGGCGCCAGGGCCCTAGCTGGCCCCATGCAAGGAACGAGAATGAGGGCTCGCGGGGGTGGAAGGGAGGTCCGGGGTCGGAGAGCAGGACAAGTCAGGGGTTCAGAGTAGCCCGGCTCGGTTTCCCGGAGCGTCGGAGGGCAGAGACTTCCTAAGGCGGCGGGGAAGGGTGCGACTGCGTCCGCGCCCCGACCAGTCCGGGGCCGCAGGGACGCTGCGCCGCCCGGGCCAGACGAGCCCGAAGACTGGGGAACCCTCCGCACCACGGTAGAGGCCGGCAGCGGACCGGGCAGAACACTCGCCGCGCTCTGGGCACAGCTTTCTGCAAGGGCCGAGGTAG